TCCTTCCTTCCTTCCTTCCTTCCTTCCTTCCTTCCTTCCTTCCTTCCCTCTTTCCTTCCCAAAATGTTAAATGTTTCAAATGAGGTCATTAAAGCAGGAGCTACAATGTCTTGCAATCAAAAGAAACTGCATATATTAAACAAAAAATAGAAATCTAAAAGTTTGGGCAATCTGCTAAATAGGGTACAGATCTTATTTTGTTACATTAGCTACACCTTTTTGATAATAAGGAAACTAGAAGTCAATAAAGGTATAATTGTAAAAATTGACTAAAGTTAAAAGGAAATCATAAAGCAAATAGAACTGCCTATGTACCACTGAAGAAAGAGTACCGCAAAAACAAAGCTAAAGAGCAAGTAAGCCCAGAGACATATTTCCAGAGAGTTGAAAGAGGTGTCATTGAGCTCTTTTGCCTCTTTTAAATAGGTTTTCGGAATGTTTGTTGTTTCAAAGGGGCAGGCAAACATTTTGACACAATTAAAATGTGGTTCTCCAAGTCTGGTTGTGGCTTTTATAGTTAAGTACATCGTTGTTACTAAAACTTTGGTAAATCCATCACATTCTCTGTCTTTACTGAGGGCAACATTTTTATCCACAGGTAGAACGGGAGGCTGTCCATGGTTTTACGTATCTGTCTCCATAAAATCATAACATCATAGGGCTGGGAGAGACCTTGGGAGCCTTTAAGTCTAACCTCCTGCCCAAGGCAGAAGTTCTTATACATCCGGGACAAATGGTTGTCCAAGTTTTTTTTCTTGAAAACCTCCAGTGATGGAGCACCTACAACTCCAGGAGACGAGCTCTTCCATTTATTAATCTTTCTCACTGTCAGGAAATTCTTCCTTAGTTTCGGATTGGATCTCCCACTGCTGAGCTTCCCCATCCTTAAAGCCTTCTTGTCCTGCCCTCAGGTGCTACAGAGAATAAATCAATCCCTTCTTCCCTGTGACAATCCATCAAGTATTGAAAGACTGCTGTCAGGTCTCCGCTGAGCCTTCTCTTGATTAGGCTAAATAGTCCAAGTTCCCTTTAGCAATTTAGCTTCCAAATCCTTTATTCTCTTTGTAACTCTTTTCAGAACACTTTCTAGGGCCTCAACATCATTTTTGTATCGCGGCAACCATAACTAGATGCAGTATTCCAAGTGTGCCTTCACCAGTGCATTATAGAACAGTGCTGTCACTTCCCGAGATCTTGATAATATTCTCTGTTGATGCAGCCTAGGACTGCAGTGACTTTTTTGGCAGATGCAACGCACTGTTGGCTCATCCTCAAAGTCTTCAATATGAAGGCTATTTACTTATTAACACAATATTTGTATTAATAACTGAAAAGGTTTTTGTGTAAGCTGGCTGACATTTGTTTAAAAATATAACCTGCACCTCAGTGGTGGGATTCAAAAAATGTTACTGCCGGTTCTGTGGTTTAGTGGGCGTGGCAGGGGAAGGATACTGTAAAATCTCCAGTCAGAGGTGGTATTTGCCGGTTCTCTGAACTACTCAATATTTCCTCTATCAGTTCTCCAGAACTGGTCAGAACCTACTGAATACCCACCTCTGCTGCACATGCCATGGCACAGGAAGAGGAAGTACTGAACATTAGCAAGAATGGAACTTTTACTTTTACACTTTCAGACTATCCAGGAAACGCTATGGTGTTGAGGTACCCAGCGGTAAAATTCGGTCCATTGTATTCATACCTTTGGAATAGTCAGGCAGCAAACACCTTTTTGAAAATCAGGTGGCTCTTTGACATTCACCCCAGCTCCATCTCGGTACCACTGCATAAAAGTCTCCTTCTTGGTATTTGCGACCTGAATAAGGACAACAGTAAACACAATGAAAAATCCCATCCCAAGAGCCAGATGCCATAGTTAGTTCTCTGAGGCCTGTTGTGGCCTTGGTAAGTCAAAAGAAAGCCTACATTATTTTCCCCATTTTGACTTCTGGTAGAAGGGAAAGGAAATCTGTGTAGCGGTGAATAAAGACACTATTTTTATATTCAAAATTGAATTTTTGCTCAGTTGTGTAGGTGTGTGCGGGATTGCTCCTCTCCAAAAACAACAGCAAACTTCAGAAACTGTGCAGCCAGGTTGTGAGATGTGTTCTATGTAGTCTTTATTTTAAAAATACAATATTCCTGTATCTCTGCATAAATGAGCCTGCAGCTAGCAGACTTTAAAAAAAAAAAGAATGTTTGAATCAGCAGGTGAGTTCCTGCTTCTCCCCTATTACAGTGCTGTTTTGTGGCTTGTCGTAGTACCACAAATAGTAGGATACAAGTGGTCTTTAAAGGATCACCTGTTTGTCTCTATAGAAAGTTACCATCCACCCCTCTCCTAGAAGAATGAAATATTTTGAGAAATATTAAAGGTAGAATACTATATTTCCCTGGATGAGAAATGGAGAAATATGCTCTTGGAAAGCAGCCCCCACCTTCCTTAATACCCCACAGCAGATGTCAGCACTTAAGAGATAAAGAGATAGCTAGCTCTATTCATAAGCAAATTCCCTGCAGCAAAGTCTGAATAAAGATAGGATTAGGATAGGATAGGATAAGTATCTAAGTTAATCAAATAAGGTCCCTTTCAAAAGTTATAAAGTATTTTAGTGTGTATATATGTATGCATTTGTGTATATGTGTGCATGTGTTTATGCATACTTTTAAGAGATATTTAGCATTAAAGATAGGCAGAATTAATACTTTGGTGCTGCAATGCGGAATTTATTTATTTATTTATTTATTTTACATTATTCTGTAGTACTTCATGGGATTTACTCAGAGATAATATATACGTGATTATACTGCAAATACGCTTACGTTTGATTAGCATAAGCAGGAGTTCATTTGTTTTAGTGTGTTAGCTTGTTTTGTTGTTTCTCCAAATTACAAAATGCTTCATAAATAGGGAGCATACCTTTGTTTTAAATTCATACTCTAGTTGCAATAAATGACATCTGTGCCCCTTTGGAAAGCAATTTTGTTAAAATGCATCCAAAAATAATTGCTCACCTTACACAGCAGCAGGACTTCACATTCATCAGTAACTTCCCAGTGCAAATACTCCTCAAAATGAGGACCTAAAAGAAGGAGGAATAAAAAGGTAGATATGTCATATTCAGATCCTCAGAGAATTAATAAATACGGCAGGAAAAATACAACTGGAAAGAGATTGCTCATTAAGTGAAGAGACCTAGTTTGTCCTTCCAGTCCTTGAATAAATGGTCACGTAAGGAAAGCTACTTATGAAATGAAAGATATCCTTAAATTTGGGAGTAGAGAAAGTTTGTAGGGCTGGTCCAGTTCTTCAACAGAAACAAATAAGTGTTTGAGAAATGCTAGTTTTCTATAAAGACTTAGGCAGAATGTAGCCGGGGTCATTATTCCATTTTCAAAATGAAGATGTTAAAATTACAATCCCACAACCAAATTACAATCCCACAACTTTCTCTATTGAGGAGAAAGCCATCATATGTTGAATACTGATTTATCAATTTTAAAAGCTCCTATGGCTATAAAGGCACTACAGCTCCAAAAAATTTTTAAGAAAACAGCTCAGTATAGGAATGTTGGCCTTCTTTCCTATCTTACTAAACATATTCTAAGCTCACCCAAAGTTAGCTCTGAATGATGAACTGAGGAGATGTTGAATTCTCCTTTGTATGCCCCAGAAAGTCCCTCTGGCAGAATCCAAAGGATCTGAATTCACTGTCTTATTTTTCTCTGGATTTGCAGTGCATACATTATTGCAGCTGGGTGTATGAAAATGTTACGCGCCAGAAACCCTGTGAAACTTTCCAGAGATTCTGTTAAGGAAGAAACAGAACTACTGGAACAACGTATCTGAGAGCTCTTGGGAAATAAAAGACACTCCCTATTATTGACATAACAACAGAAGAAAATATGTGCAGATGGATGTTCAGGGGAGGCTTTGGAACGGGAATAAAATAAAGCAGATGAGCAAACTCTGAGGTTCCAGGTTCATATGGAATCACAGAAGCTATCTTTAAACATTGGAATGATAATAGCTTGTAATGTTTTGCGTGAAAAGGCAGGGCAATTAGTGAACACAGGACTAGAAAATAATTATAGGCGTAAATTGTAAAGCTTAAGGAAACCAGAAAAAGGTCTATTTTGGTTCCATCCAGCAGTTTCTTCATATTACTCAAAGGCCAAAGACAATCCTCATTCTGGGTAGCGGTGGGTGGGGTGAAATGCACAGTCTTACATTAAATTGTGGTTATTTAATAATTATTTTTATAAAAGTTAGTTAGAACAATTAACCAGTAGAACAACTTGCCTCCAAACATTGTGAATTCGCCAACACTGGAAGTTTTAAAGAAGAGATTGGACAACGATTTGTCTGAAATGGTATAGAGTTTCCTGCCTGAGCAGAGGGTTGGACTAGAAGACCTCTAAAGTCCCTTCCAACTCTGTTATTCTATTCTATTCTATTCTATTCTATTCTATTCTATTCTATTCTAT